TATTTTTAAAACCTGAACGGAGGCTTTTTGTTAGCACTGATTGAACAAACAAGCTTTCTTCCTACATCAAAGTATCTCCTGCTCTGGGTATAGTGAAAAGGGGTGACCCTCCGGGCAATCCTTATGGGCATTGCCGCTCCTGATGCATTGCAAAATGATATAAAATTAAATGCAGAAAGTTCACAGCAACAATCTGGAGGTCTGAGAAGAAATCTTTAAATGGGAATTAGGGCACAGCCAAAAAGCAGCACTGCTTTCATTTGAAAATGTTTCTTTTTAGCTTGGTTTTTCTTTTTGGTTTTTTGGTGTTTGGTTTTTTTGTTTTTTTCCCTTTGGTTTGTTTGGTATTTTTCTTCTTTGATTTTTTTGCCTTTTTTTTTTTTTTTGGTTTTATTTTGTTTTGATTTGTTTTCTACCCTGCTTCTGGCATTTCCAGAAGTGTAGAAATCCAAAATTCCTGCCAGATTTGATGATATTTCCTGGATCTACCTGCACTGCTTTTCTAAAGTCCTTCTCTGGGCAGGTGAGGCTGGTGGTTGCTGAGGGTAGCCCATCCCCACGGTGTTATTAGTACGTGCAGCCCTGTGGTTGAGCAGCTGCTGGACAAATCCTGACTGGATCTGACAGAGCAGCAACCCATTGCTGACCGGGATCTGTGGGGAACATCCCTGCACACAGCTCCTGAAAGGGGAGAGCTGACCTGCCCTCTAGGCACGCTGCTCCTCCCTCTGAGTCCTACCCGTTGGCCTCATGTGTTGCAGAATAAATGGCTATTTTTCATTCCTTAAAGATAAATACTGTCCCAGGGATCAGGAGGCTGAAAGTGAAGCTTCCCATCCTGTCCTCTTGCCATGTTCCAAGGCCAGTAAAACTTGACTTCGTGTCTCAGCTTTGGAAAGGTCACGGCTGCCTATTCAGCCGGCCCTTGCATTGAACGGTGGGACACAAATAGCTGACCCACCCTGGCCCCACCTGCCCCTTCAAAGTTCTGCCCCAGATTACAGGAAATGAATGCCCCTGCCGCTTGTTCCCCTCCTGTGAGGAAGCCTCCTGCTGCCCCTTTCCCAGACTCTCTCCCCACTGCGGATAACCCTCCCTGTGTCATTCCCCCATGCAGAGGGGCCGGGCTGTGGGGTCGGTGTGGGCTGTGCAGACCTGCTTGGAGTTGTGGAGCTGAGCTTGCTGCTCTTTGGGTAGTGGGGAGCAGCCAAGCTGCGCTGGTAAGAATTTAATTATCAATGCAAAAGGCATTGTTGCATGGGGGTGGGGGGGAGCCTTGCTGTGAATCTTGGGAGGCCTTTGAAGTTGTGATGGAGAGGAACTGAAGCCCAAGGGAACAGGGCTGCTCCCACTGACCCTTCCTCCCCACACCTGCGCTACAAAGCCCCTGCCTAAGAGGGAGATGGTGGAGTAATTAGAGGGAGGACCACAGTGGCTTAACAATTAGTGAGGGTGCTCAGAGCCCTCTTTGGTCCCCCACTGTTCTTCCAGAGGCAGGGACTCAGTGCATCCACCAATGTGTCACTCCCAGGCTTGTTCCACCACCCCACCATGAACCCGGGTGGGCTGAGGATGCACAAGCTCCCCTAGATACCATGAGCCCATTCCTGAGCCCAGGATGCTTGGATGTGAGCCCCCAGTGTGCTCCTACATCTGTTTGTAGGGATGCAATACATCCCTGCAGGAGCTGTGGCCACCAGCAAAAGTGTTGGGAAGGGTATCTAAGCACTCACTCTTTACAGATTATATAGATATAGATATATATGATACAGATATAAATATAGATATTGATATAAATATATATACGATAGAGATATATAGATATCGATACATGACAAGAGATATATGGTCCCAAGTAAAACACACATCCTCTAGATTCTAGGCCCTGTCTCAGCTCCCTCACTCATCTCAAGTAGGACATAGAATTTGATAGATATGGGTATGGAAATGGATACAGATATAGATCCAAAAATAGAGATATAGGTATAAATACAATATTTATACATACATCATATACTGAATCACACACTTTGACTCCTGCCTAGTCTGTATCTATGAGGCTGCAATGTTCACTACTCATGCACCATTGCACAATGCAACTTTATGCAGCGTGAGGGTCTGCCTTACGTGAGGCTCTGTTTGCACACCCCAGTTGTGCTGGGAAACGACCTGTTCGCTCCTAGGTGCTTACATTTGAACAGGCAATCAGGCTTGACAGCTTTTCCACCAGGGCGAGAATTTCCCCTGACACCTCCTGGTGTTTTGGCTCAATACGCTGAGGCAAGGCCAAGGCACAGAATAGGGAAACGACAAAATGGTGCTAAGGAAAACAAAATGGAGCTCACGGTTTGAGACTGATATGTGCAGACAGTCCATAGCATCAAAGAGAATTGCCCAGCTGTAGGAGAGAGGTCTCCCAAACCGGCACATTTTCTGAAGAAATGTTTGAGCTGAAAGGGGTCCTTTGTGGTGGTCTTGCTCACCCTGTGGCTTCGAAGGCGGGCTCTGAGCATCACCCCTGGAGAAGCAGTGCAGTCGAGAGCTCCCTGCACGGGGCTGAACAGGCACTTGTCACATGAGGCGTGGCAGGTTCCCCTCGGAGCTGAGCAGTAACCTGGGCCGTGCCCGGTTGGGTTTTGGGAGAGGGTTGGTGTCCCCATATCAGAGCATGCAGCAGTGCTGCTGGATGGACACGGGGATCCCCAAGCGCGTGTGCTGCACCATGAGTTAACAGGCGCTCTCGGACACACAATGCCTTTGTGTTTGTGCAGTGCCTGCTGTGTGGGCTTAAAATGCAACGCTCTATGCACTTGGCTGAAGTGAGGGAATAAAAGAAACTTATTCCTCTTCCTGCAAAGAGGAATCTGGCCATGGGTGGCATACAAGCTGGCATAGGTTGTCTGGGAACCAAAGCAACTGAAAGGAGAAGACTCCTTCAGGTCATGACAACATCTCTGTGAGACTGGGTGATGACTACACAGTGAGGTTGGTGGGATGGGGTGCAGCAAGCTGTCTCCAGGTCCCACACATTGTTGGCAGACAAGTCGGGGGTACAGCCCATTATGTGCTCTCAGTATCATTCCTCATAACGCGATGCTCCCGTCGGACCCCAGTTCATGCAGGCTCCTCCTGCTGCCCACAGAGCAGTGGGAGGCAGCCACATCCATTGCTGAGAATCCCAGCGTGGGAAAGAGGGTGCAGAGACCACGGTGGGGGGGACAGAAGGTCTGCGAAAGCTCTCCCCTCCCTGCAACCTTCCTGCTGAGGGTCACCGGGACTGTGATCCTGCACTGTGAACAGGGAAACTCCCAAGCCTGGGCTCCTGCTGGGTGAATTACCCAGGGAAAATAGGCAGAAAATCTTCAGATTAACAATAACAAATAAAAATGGATTTGAGATCTCCAAGGTAATTACTCTGTGCTGAGGGCAAGGGGCCTCTTTAGCAGTGGGAGCAGTGTCATGCAGGGAGTGGAGGGGCTTGGCCTGCTGTTGGGCCAATGGAACCACACAAGAAACCCTGGAAATTCTTTCAAATTGTTCTGCTAACATTAATAAATGCCTCAAAAGCTCCTAATCTGCTCTGTCAGGAGCATGACGTCCGGGTGTTTCACAGCCAGCTCACGTCTCTGCTCCTCTCTCCTCCCCTCTCCTTCCCTGCCTGGTAATAGTAAATGAAAGTGGCACCCGTTCCCCAGGCTACAGGGACCAGCTTCATGCTGAGCCCAGGCTCTGCCAGGACTGGAGCCGCTGTCCTGATATGCCCTGTCCCTGCTGTGACAAGCTGGTCCTGGCAACAAGACCACCATCCCTCCTGAGCCCAGGGACCAGCCCAGCCCTGGTGCTGCAGAGGGATGCTGTGACAAGGTGCCTCCAGGTCCAGTTTGGTGTTCCTCAAGGGTGAGGAGACACAGCCAGCAAGGATGAAGCCTCCTGAGGCATTGACCTTGGACGATAAAGGGAATGGGGAAAGCTGGAGGCACTGGGGGTCCCTGTGGGATCCTGGTGCTCTTGGGGGATGTTGAAGCATCAGGGTCCTGGTGCCCACTACACTCATTCCCAAGAGTCAAGGCACCTTGCTGGCAGCCTCCTCCAAGCCTCCATCCCTCTGGATCTGCACCATGGATCTGGGGCTTGGGCTCCTTCCCCAGGTGCTGAGAAACTCAGGGTTATCTGGCAAGGCAAAACTCTCCACTGCCTGATGCTGTGGGATGTGGGTGTGGGGCTCAGATGGCTCAGAGGCAGCAGTGCCATGGCATCTTGCTTTCCTCCACTGCTGCCAGTGCACAGGTTTCCACAGGAAGCTTCTGAGCACATTGGAAGGCATCCTCACCTCTCCCCCCACGCAATCTGCTCCCCTTTTCCTGCGGTCTGCCTCTGTCTCCTCTTTAAGCTGGACTCCTGGTGGTGGCAGGGATTTGGAGGGGTTGGCTTTGATGGACTTCTCCAGTGGGGTGTCAGCCAGGACCATGGGGAGTCTCTCTGTGCTGGAGCTGGGCACTGCAGTGCGCAATTACAGCAGCTGCTGGAGTGCAGACTTCAAACCAGTGATGCTGAGAGGGAGCTGAGCCTAAAGGGCTTCCAGAGGAGAAGTGTCCAGCCGAGGAATGATGCTCCAGTTGCATCAGTCTTGGCCCACAGTGGGACTGGTGGACAACCTGATGCTGAGAGTTTGTTTCCATAACCCTTCCTTGCTTTGCGTTCCCTCCAACCTGCTGTTTGCAGCTTCCTCTCCTCCAAAAGGTCACGCTGCTCTCAGTGCTGGGGCCAGGACTCAACTCTATCCTGAACCACCAGCTCTGGAGAGCATCACTTGCTGCCATCCCCAAACTCCATACCTGCCTCATATCCAGAAAGACAGTCCCTGAAGAAAGATTGATGGGTGGGAGGCATTTTCAAGGAAGTGGCAAGTGAAGAGGGATTGTTTATGGTGTGTCTGTTCCTCACTCCTTGGGGATGGGGACAAAGCTTTCTAATACAGCTTTTGCTCCTGTGTTTTCCAGTGAACTTGCTAGACACGTCAACAATCCTGGGAGACTGGGGCTGGATGACTTATCCCTCACATGGGGTAAGTATGAAGTGACAGTGGCAGAGGGGGACCCCAGTGGGATGGGTCACCATGGGTCATTGTAGGGATGAGGAGGGAATGGACATCTCAGCCCCAGGTCAGTGCTGATGAGGCAAACAGACCAGTCTGTTGGGAAAATGCCAGCCTGATAGACTGGCAGAGGGATACAGCTGTTTTGGAAATGCCATTTAACCCTCCATGTCCCCTGGTAGGGACCAGGCTGTCACCAGGTCCTGAACATTGAAGGGACTCAAGAGCTGGGACATGCTAAGAAGTGTCTCATTCCTCACTGCACTAGGTGAGCATCAGGGAGAACAGCCCCAAATGACCAGGAAGCTCCCAGCCACTTGGAATCCAAGTAATTTCTGTGAGAACTGGGCAAGAGGGGCAGGGGAACCTCCCCTGCGGATCGCATCTTACAGGAATGGGAGTGCAAACCCACAGCCCTGTGGTGTGTCCAGGAGAGATGACCCCCACGTGAGCCTGCCATCTCCACTGGCTGGATCCTTGCTACGTGCTCTCTTCAGTTGCATTTCCATGCCCAGGGTTTCCTGACACAGTAGCTTTCTGGAAATAGTGAGTTTCAGATGTCAGGGTGACCTGGCTGGAAGGATTTTGCTCATTCATTTAGCTCAATCCCATAAATACCACAGGACCAACTGCAAGGCACAGTGGGGCTTTCTGCAGGCACAAAATGTGCAAAATTGGGGTGCCTACCTGGCTGTTGCTGCTGTGTTGATTTTTCATGTCCATTCTTTTTATCCTCTCTCTGAACTAAATGGTCCTAATCTTTTCAATTCCACCTCCCACAGAAATCTTCCCAGGCCTCTAATAATTTTCATTGATCTGTTGCTTGAGACTTTCAGTCCCCGCACTGCTTGAGCAGGAGTGATCAGAACTGTGAATTCATAATAATACCAATGATCAAATTTCTATCAGACTTTATCATATATGTAAATATATTAAATTGTTAATTCTAATTTTAGCAGTTGTTGCAATGATGAGTATCCTGGGAATGTAAGAGATTTAGAGGAACAAGGTCAGAGGGGACTGTGGAACTAATGTGATGTGATCTCCTGCATAAACACAGGCCTTCAGACCTGTTAATTCAGCTCTCAGAGCAGCCCAGCTTTGAGGAAAAAACATCCTTGGCTGCAAAATTGCTGGTGCTGGTAAATCCTCCAGGTCCTGTGGTGATGCTGTTAACGTGCCCCTGTTAAAAACCGATCGCTACGAGGGTTTGCCTGCCTCTGGTCTCCAGCCAGGGGACCTTCTTCTGCCTCTGCCTGGATGAGGCAGATGCTGTCCTCCTCATGGCTGCCTTTGGCTGTCACTAATCAGCTGTCATCTCATCCCAGCCCTCCTGCCAGATCGTGTCATCCTGGAGGAGCTTTCTCACACATTCGGGGCTTCCTCTGCTCCCCTGCAAGGGAGAATGTTTCTGGGATCTTGCACTCCCAAAGCAGACAAAAGGATTGAGCCTACAGGAGCCTCATTCTCACCGCATCAGGGACTTCCATGGCCAGCCTAGGTGCAGCATCCTGTGCTGGACATTGACAAATCCAGGGATGAATCCAGAACCCCAGCCCATTTGGATTGTCAGCTGTGACTGTCAGGTCAGGGGCTGGGGCTGAGTCTCAGGGCTCTCTACAGCAGATGCCCAGCAGTCCTTCACCAGCAGCTCTTGAACACAAGTACATCTGAATTCTCCATCTTATTGGTGATGTTTATTAAAAATAAATAATAATACAATGAATAATCTATATAATAAATTAAATAATATATAATAAGTTAAATAAAACAGTAAGTAAAATTTTTAAAAAGTAAATAATAAATATAACAAAGAATAAAACAAAATTATAATACTCTATGCCAAAAACATAAAAGAAAACCAAAAAGGCTCACAACATTAAGTGCTGTGTAACACCCAACACCAGAGCCACCTCTTGGCCATGCTGCTGAATCCTACAGGACCTTAGTCAGTCGTGGGGTAACCCCACGGTGCACATACCCTGTGCTTTTGCCCAAATTGTGGCCCTGTTACCAGCAGGATAATCACATACCTGTGTAGAAACTGTCTTGAATACCCTCAACTTTGCATATCTTTTTTCCAGCTGGATGTTTTAATGGCTCCTTTAAACACTTGTCTGGACCATGGCTCTTCCTCCCTGGGCCACTAATCCGGAAAACGCATCTCATTCCTTTACCTCTCTACTGGTCCTTCACCTCCAGGTCCTTTCTGAGTAGGGAATTTGCTCTCAGATCTGTTTGCTGTCACCAGGAGATGCATTAGGATGCTGGTGTCTCAGGAAAGCTGGGGTAGAATACTTGCTGTCAGTGCCAATGCCTTGGCTCTGAGCAGATGCCTCCCAAGCAGCCCCTACAGTGCAGTTCAGGCTTAGGTGGGGGAAATCTGTTGTGACCCCTGCACTAAGAAAGGAACTGAGGAACTGCACTAAGAAAGGAACTCCCTTTGCTGGTCACCATTGGTGCCCAGTGCTTTGGGTGCCCCTGGGGCTGTTCCTGCCCACTGCCTCGTGCCGTAGCTTTGGAAGGCCTGGGCTGGGCTTGTATAGAGGCACTGTACTGTGAAGCCAGATTTTCATTGAGGTAGTTTATTTTTGCTGCCATTTCCTTAATTTAGGTATTCTAGCTGAAAGATTGGTGGCAGTTCGCCCACCTCCACCCATCCCTGCTACCTGCCAGCTGTCCTGCCTGGACCACAGTGCAGGATTTCCCCACAGCGTGTCTGCCCCATCTGTGGGACAGCATCCTCCTGCCAAGGGACAGCATTGCTGGCTGAAGTCATGTTTGTTTTGCTTTACCCACATCTCCATTCTCCCCAGGGCCACCACATGGGTGTCAGACAGCAGGAGATGGGTAGCTCTGCCTGGGCCTTTTCATGGCACTAAGCAGCACAGAGCCTTGGTCCCCAGCCTGAGAAGCTTCAGAAGGGGACTTGTGTCTGCTAGCTCACTGCCTAGTGCCCTATGCCCTGCCCTTGGGGCACGTGCAGGTCCTGTCACACCTGGAGGAAAGGCAGCAGCTTCAGAGGCTTCTTCCTCTGACTGGGAGACCCCAGAGCTGCCTGCACAGCCAGGGCAAAACCGGACGGGTACCACTTGCAAAGTCCTGATGTTTTCATCACACTTGTGGGCAAGGTGAACTGGCCTCACTGGAAGGCCACTTCCCTCTCTTTGGGAAGTTTACTTCCCTCTCTCTCATGGGTTTTGCATGGCCAGTGAGAGCAGAGGAGCAGGAGCTGGAGCAATGGGCACAGTGAGGGTCAGCAGTGCCGTGGGCCCTGGGGAATGTCAGGCCATCAGGGAGCCATGCCTGTCCTGTTTTGACATTTTCTCTTGACAGACAATTAACTGAGGGGTAATTGGCTGTAATTGCTGCTCAGGGGTTTAATTGCATCCCCCCCCTCACCTCCACCCCAGAGACACGTGCAGGAAGCAGAAGGGTCACTGGGAGCATCCCTGTCCCGCAGGCTGCAGTTCCTCTCAATTATAACTTCAAAGGGCTCCCAGGAGCTTTGCAGCTCGCTCCTTTCCCAGAACAATTCCCTTTGCATTGAAAATTAAACTCTTATAGTGTGGTCAACTGCTTCACTCACCATGCCTCCTGTATTCCAGCTCTCCCCAGCAAAATGCCCCAGTGCCCCAGTGCCCTTCTCTCCCTTCTCCTTGCTTGGCACGTGCCCTGCTGGATCAGAGGGAGCCTGATCGGCCCCTTTGCAAATTGCCTTTCTACTGACTAATTAAAACACTGATGAGATAAGTCAACATATTATTAATAATTATTGTATCGTCTACTTTGATTTACAAAGTCAAACAGGAAATGATTTTGTACAGACACAGGGTATCTAAGGAGCTTGAATGATGCCTTGCAAAAGCTAATTAGAATGGGAGCATCTTGAGTGCTGGAGGAAGGCCCCCCATGCTGCCCATGACCTCCCCATCCACGCCCACCAGCATCTTCTGTGCTGGCCCCACAGTTTCCCTCTTGCTGCAGGGCATGGGGTCAGCCCAGAGAGGTACTGGGCATTGCCACCCAGGCAGCTGCCCCAACATCTGTCACAGAGTCATGGACTGTCCTGAGCTGGAAGGAGTCACAAGGATCATCAAGTCCAACTCCTGGCCCTGTACAATCCCAGCAATCCCACCTGGCATGCTCCATGTTGGCTTTATTGGTGGGAATCAGGAAAGAACTTAGAGGAGTTTGGAGCTCCCCATCCCTGCCCCTTTGCTCCTCAGAAAGGGATGTATCCTGAAATCCCTGGGCACACTTAGCCAAGGGTGCTCCTCCTTCATCCTACAGTACCCAGCACTGTCAGAAAGGCACCAGATCTGCTGGAACCCCCAGCTGAAAGCACAGACACAGCCACGGGATGGTCTCCCAGCAGTATTTCGGCATTAAGAATGGGGATTTCAGCCCTGGGACTGAGCTATTTGCATAGCCATGCCTGCACACCAGGGGATTTTTTTGCATGGGTCTGATCCTGCAGCCAACAGCCAGTCCATGGCTGGCATGAGCCTCATTTGTAATGGAGCAGGGTCTCCCTCTGCCCCAAGCCCACTCCTTAAAATCCCATCCCCAGTCTGAGCTGTGCTGTTTTTTTTATTCAACCCCCCTTCAAGTTCATCTCTTCTTCTCAGAGCACCAAGAGATATGGGGGCTTTCCCATGTGCCTAGGCCATGTCTCTGCTCTCTCTCACTTTGATGTCCCTGTTGTATTTCTTGGTTTTCTCTTCCAAGCTGGAGCCTCTAGCTGGATCCAGCAAGTTACAGCTCAAGCTGTGGTGAAATTAATTTTCTTTGGGGAAAAAAAAAAAAAAAAAAAAAAAAAGTGTAGGAATTGAACACTGGAAAATAAAGATTTAGACTGATAATTGAGATAAAAGCTCATCTCCTAGTGCTTGTTCAGTAAATCCTGGGTTATTGCTAATTCCCCAGATGCTGGTCACTACCAGTAGTTAATCACCTGCAGTGAAGCTCAGGGTAGTTAACTGCCTGAAAAATCCCTCCTTAGCCACAGCAGTGACTGATTTCATGGGGATTATCTCCATTAAGGCCTCCCATCTAATGATTTATAGCTTCAATAACAGCCTTCTCTTTTTTTCCTCTCCCAGTGACAATGGTGTGAAGAGGTGACATGGCATGCTGGGAAGGAAAATGCTGGATGTTTCAGTGGCCACAAAAGCTTTGCTATGCCAGGCAGACCTGGCATCCCTCCTGGAAGCTGCCCCAGGGCTGGGAACACTCATTCCTTTGCACTGTAAGGATGGTGGGAGGCAGAGCTGCTGCCCCAGGGGGACACAGTCTCTCCTCTGCTCCTCCTCCTTCTCCTCTGCTGTGCCACACAAGCCCTGGGAGACTTATAAGACCTTACTCAGCTGCCCAGATATCTGCTGTTTGCATCTCTTGCCTTTCATAATCTGGCAAATATTTTATAACTGGTGTTGACTTTAATTTAAACTATTAGGCAAACTCCTGAATGCAGATGCAATCACATCATCCCCCAGTGTGTGAGCTCACCACGTTAATTATGATGTCCTCATTTCCATCTCGCTGGGGGGATCTTTTCACACTGGTGGGGCCAAGCTGAGCTTTGGTTCATAAAACCACTTCAGCCCATGAACTGAGAGCCAGCAGTGCATGGTGCCTGCATTCTTAAACCAGTGGTACCCAGTGTCACAGAGGCCCCCTCCTGCCCACAGAGCCTGGAACTAAGGTGCAACAGAAAATCCCCTCCAGTCATGGGGATTCCTGAAGCAGGCACTTCCATCTCCTTTCAGGTACCTAAAGGGCCTACTGGAAGGTTGGAGAGGGACTTTTTGCAAGGTTAAGCAGTGATAGAATAAGGGATTATGGCTTTAAACTGAGGGAGGGTATATTTGGATTGGATATTGGGAAAAAAGTTTTCCATGTGAGGGTGGTCAGGCCCTGGCACAGGTGCCCAGAGCAGCTGTGGCTGCCCCTGGATCCCTGGCAGTGCCCAAGGCCAGGCTGGATGGGGCTTGGAGCAGCCTGGGACAGTGGAAGGTGTCCCTGCCATGGCAGGGGATTGGAACAAGATGGTCACTTCCAATCCAAATAATTTCTCGGATTCTGTGATCCCAAAGGCCCTGTAACTCCTGGGACCTGGCAGGGCCTCTGGGACCTTGGTTGCCCTGTGACATGCTGGGAAGATGAATCTGTGGCATCTGAGCCACGAGGTCTGATAGCCGGCCTGCCCCACTCTTAGAGCACTTTCCCTGCAGGCCAAGTGTGGCATTTTGGGCTGGTCTCAGATGGGGATCTCAAGGGACCGTGGGACAGAACCGACAGTGCAGCTGCTGTGCAAAACAGGACTAAGTTTGAAAGAGTGATAGTGCATATGCAAACTCTCCAAATTCACGAGGTGTGGCTGATACCAACTGTTGCTGGTGCTTGAAGGTGGGCATTTATCTCCTGCTCTGTCAACTGGGAGGATGCTGCCAGCTCTGAGACTGCCACAGGCATGTGGGACATGGCAGCAGTGAGCATCATCTCCTCTGCCAGATTTGGGAGAGAAGTGAATGTCTGGAGACCAAAACCAACCAGACGTGCTGGAACCAAAGCATTTTGGTGCATACAATAACCTCATCTTTCCCTTGCCAGACCCTCATAGAGAGCCCTGACCCCACATGCAGTGCCAAGGGGAGATGGCTGCGCATTGTGGGGTACATCCCTGCTCACCCCCACAGCTCTGCCCTCACACTCCTCCCATGCACAGCTCTGCTTCGCTTCCCCCGGGAAACTCAGCAGGGAAAAGTCAGGAAACAGATGTTGTGTTAATTTGTGCTCAATTACTTTCGACAGTGACTTCCACCCCCTTGGAAGCACCGCAGCAGCCTGAGGTGCGGGAGGAGGAGCTGCTCTGCTCCGCTGGGCCTGCCTGGTGCTGCGTGCGCTCCCAGCCCCCTGTGCCCCTGACCAAGCAGCAGGGCAGGGTCCTGGGGGTCACAGCACCTCTGACAGACTCGTCCCTGGGCTGGGGAAGCTGAGGGCTGCTGCCCTCATCCCTCCTGCCAAATAGACCTGTAGCCTGGCCCTGAGTACTGGGCATGTTCCTAGTGCTCCCAGGACAAACCTGGGCATTCCTGGGGATTCAGAAGACAATTTCTTTAAATGCATGACAAAACATTTTTCTTATCTGGGAATGGTTTCATTTTGACCCCCTTTGCCAGCATATTCTCTGTAAATGGAGCTGCTGCCTTTTCCAGGTTGTTTTAAACCCTTTAGGACAGAGAAGCAGTTTTCTCCTGAATGCATGTGAAAACTGGAGATGTGTAAGACTGCAGTAATTGCTCTCATCACCCTCACTTGAGCAGAAGGCATGACAACACCTCCCCAGAATTAGCAGGTCTGGGAGGACAAACAAGGACAGACATTCCCATCTGAGAGGGGAGAAGGGAGTGGACTGTTTTGAAGGTATCACTGATACCTCTTCTGTATCTCTTATGCTCTGGAGGTATGCTGCCCTCTCCTAGCTGTGCCCTGTCCCTGTGCTGCTGTCTCAGGGATCTTGTCAGTTCCCACATCACTGGGGCAAAGGCTGCAGGCTCACCTTTGAGCTGAGCATCCTTCTCTCAGGTCTGCTGTTCTGTGGCTAATGAAACACAAGTCACCACTCGCATAAGAAAACACAATTTTTGCCCTGTCAGAGGGTTTATTTAATGTAATTATAAAGCTGCCTAAAAGATTTGTTTTCCTTCTCTCTGCAGCATGGCTGGGGATTTACTTGGCTCCCCCAATGCCCACAGACAACTTGGTACATACTAGTGCCGAGGTGGGGGCCTGCTCCCTGCCAGCTCCCAGGCAGAGCCAGGACCCCGGGAAGGGGCTGGAGGGGATGCTGAGGCTGGGGGGAGAAAGGTGGTGATTATTTGGAAGGCAGAGGAGCAGGAGTGCCAGGGCCTTCCCCAGTTTCTGCAGCACTGCATCTAAGGTTGTCCCTTACAGCTGGACTTGGGCATGGGGGTGGGACTTCAAAGCCTGTTTCTAAGTTTGGGGAAAAGCTAGATGGTCTGAAGTTCTCCTCTGCTTCTCTTTGTCCTCCTCTTCTCTCCTAAGAATTCAGTGGTCCCAGACCCATCCATGGGGTGTGATTGGAATACTTGGTATGAGCAGAAATGTGAGCTAAAGAGGTGGTGAGAAGCCCCAAGTGCAGCGAAAGTCTGTGTGTCCTGGTGAGGTATTTGGTGAGAGTGGAAAGGGAGATGAGAGCCAAGACTGAGCCCCCAGAAGTGTCATGTAGCACCCAACAGCTAAGTTCTACTTGTTCCTCACCTATGGAACTTATATCCAAAATACCATTACTTCTTCTCACTTCCTATCACTTAAACCCACTTAGCATCCCTCCCTTATGTGACACCCATGTCCCTGTCCCTCTAAACTCATCCAGACCACCCTCCATTGCAATCCTGCTTGCTGCAACCTGCTTTTGCCAGCATCTCCTCCCCAGGTTTGCCCTGCAGCCACAGGTATATGGAATTTTCGCCCCTGAGCTGTCAAGCCATGAATGTCCCGGTTCCCAGAACCAGCTCTGATTCAGCCTCTCAGCTGTGTTGGGCACTGTGGGCTCACACTGCCACCACCTTGCAGGGAAGAAGAGACCTTTGAGCCCCCATGAATCCACATTTCTTGCTGACAGTCCTGTGCTCAGTACAGGAGCACTCTGGTATACACCCTGAAACTCCTTCTCCAGATGGAAAGCACCCAGTTTTCTTGTGCAGGAGCCAGTGGAGATCCAGGTGAGCACAACTCAGGTGGTTCCCGCTGCTGCTGGAAATGGCAGACTGAGCACCAAGAAAAAGAACTTGCAGACATGAGCTGGGGGGTTTGGAGCCCTCCCAAGCACACATTACCATCAGCTTCTGCCAGGACCTCAGCTAGTGTTCCTTTCTGCAAGCAGGGCTGAACCTCCCACAGTGCTACAACTAGGTGTCACTGCCCAAATTAGTGCAGATAATAAGGGCTTCTCATATCCCTTTGCCCTGTGGAAGCAGTGACCTGTCCAGACACAGGAGCAGAGGGCTGGGAGATGGCACACACTCCTGCATGCTCCCTGCTCCCCCGGGGGTTGGGAACATCTGGAATTACCTGTTTTCTCTGTCCCACAGTGGGATTCGATCAATGAAATGGATGAGTTTTTCAGCCCCATCCACACCTACCAGGTCTGTAACGTCATGACCCCCAATCAGAACAACTGGCTCCGGACCAACTGGGTGCAGCGGGACGGAGCGCGGCGGGTGTATGCAGAGATCAAATTCACGCTGAGGGACTGTAACAGCATGCCAGGTGTGCTGGGCACCTGCAAGGAGACCTTCAACCTCTACTACATGGAGTCTGACCGGGACCTGGGCAGCAGCACCCGGGAGAGCCAGTTCCTGAAGATCGACACCATCGCAGCAGATGAGAGCTTCACCAATGTGGACCTGGGCGTGCGGCGCCTGAAGCTGAACACAGAGGTGCGGGGCGTGGGGCCGCTGAGCAAGAGGGGCTTCTACCTGGCCTTCCAGGACATAGGTGCCTGCATTGCCATCGTCTCGGTGCGGGTGTACTACAAGAAGTGCCCGGCCACAGTGAGGAACTTGGCATCCTTTTCCGAGGCTGTGACTGGGGCAGACTCATCCTCCTTGGTGGAAGTGCGAGGAGAGTGCGTGGGCCACTCGGAGGAGAGAGACACCCCCAAAATGTACTGCAGTGCCGAGGGAGAGTGGTTGGTGCCCATCGGGAAGTGTGTGTGCAGTGCTGGCTACGAAGAGCAGCGGGATTCCTGCACGGGTGAGTCCCTAATTCTTGCCTGCAGTGCCTGCAAGGGAAGGGGTGGCTGCAAGGGGCTCTTGCCTCTTTGGGGAAGGGCTGAAGACGGACACCTGCTCACAGAAACTGGGACAGTCAGTCTCTGTGGAGACCTAGGGCTGTCCATGCCTTTGCTGGCTGGCTTCATGCTTCCAAAATATGTGCCTGGTATGACTGACAAACCCTCTGGGAGTTCCTGTGGCTCTGACAGGTCCTGGTGCCCAGGGCAGGGCTTTGGAATGGGGATTGGCTGGCATCAGGACAGGGGCTGCTCTGCTTCCATCTTTCTGTACCATGGATCACTGGCCCAGAGATCCCAGCTCAGTGCAACCAGCAGCTCTGACTGGTGCTGAGATCTCTGGTGTGCTCCAACAAAGCACTACTTGGCCTCTCCGTAACACCCACCTCTGGAATGGGTTTAAAAGGGAGAAAAGCCAAAAGGAAAACACTGAGCTTTCATGGAACAAGGTCATTGCCTCCATCCCTCACCTCCGGGGCTGCTGCAGATCCCCTCATCCAGGGGTGTGGGGAGCCTTCCCAGGGGCCCTCAGTGCCGCTGGGCAGCTTCAAGCTGCCGACTGAATAAACTGTGATAAGGAAGTGGGGTGACCAGCAGCAGGCACAGCGATGTGTGTATACAGAGCACGGGCTCCCCGGGAGAGCCCTCCACACAGATTTGTTTGCTCTCTGTTTCTTCATGGGATGTGTTGAGGGGGAGCAGCACAAATATGAGTGTGGGGCCTTTGTTTGAGTTTTGTGGTAACGTCAAGTGGAGCATTTGTCTTGGGGAGGCTTGACTCAAGGTTAGGATGTCCGACACCAGACTGGAATGGATCCAGAGGCTGCTGGGACCCACACTGGCTCCTGCAGGTCTCCAGTTACAGAGTGGGAAGGATGAGCAGAATAAATGCTTTTATCTGAAACTTCTCCTGCCTGTGACAGTCGATTTGAAAGTTGTCCTGAGATAGATTTAATAACTCAGAAAAGGTCTTCCATCATATTGAAGAGTGGGTGCAAGAGGTATGTGGGGCCAGGCATGTGTTACTGCAGGAGGGGGCACTGGCATGGGCCTCCTGACTGGTTGTGCCAGCCTCACCACTACAAGGAGCTGCAAGTTGGCTCAGACAGACAAAACAGCCCTTCTTAATATTCCCCTCCAGCAGTCCTGTACTGCACATTCTGCCCCAGGACATCCCCACCCCAAAGGCAGGAGGCTGAGCAACGCTGTGGCATTGGTGCTGGCCTCTGCCTGCCTCATTTTCATACGATTCCTTGGACAGGTTTGCTCTCTCCTGGCAGTGAAGCTGTGGCAGAGCCCCTTCTCTGCCCTCCTGCCCATTTCTGGTGGGATTGCTCCTACCAAAGGCATGGCACAGGAGAAAGCGTGGTCCAGCATGTGTCCCCAGGTGGTCCCACAGATGGACTCAGACCCAGCAATGCTCTCTGGTAAAATTCCCCAAGCCTTGGGCCATCAGAAACAGGACAGAAATGTCACTGGACTTTCTCTGACCTCAGTAGTGTCTCACCCTCCTGCCTTCCCTGTTACATTTTTCTGGTTCCAGCACAGTTTGATGACCCGACATTGAGTGAAGAGGGGCAGCACCTCCTTTCCTACATCTCCTTTGGTGGGACAGCAGGACATATATTTACATATGAAGGCAAACAGATGCAAATCTCTGATCATGTGCCTCACTGGGGCAGAGTTAATTTTTCAGGCTGAAAAGTGCCTTTTGGGGATGATTTATAAGCCCAGTGGATCTGTTGGAGTTGGAAATTAGCCGTTTTAATTGTCAGGCAGACAAAAGCAGGATTCCAGTGGCTGTCGCCCCAGCAATTTTTCATTCTCGGTCACAGGGATGAGATGGTATAAATCACTCCTTGTGGCCCTAATAATCTTTCTATAAATATCAGGGAAATTCATTTTTTGCTTAAGGAGAGGGGGTGTGGAGGGGAAGAAATTAGAGAAGATACTTTGCCTCTATGGCAGTATTTAGAATATGATTCCAAATTAATTTCCTTCTGCCTTTCACATCCAGACGCCTTATTTGTCAAAGCTAAAGATATTTGAAGAGTGGAGGTTTCTTCCCCTCCTCTTTAACATTCATTTTTCTAAGGGCCTGCCAGAGTGATGGAAGACAGCTCAGGAAGCCACACCACAGCCAGGGCTGCTCCCAGTCCTTCAGAGGAGAAGTAAGGCAATATCACAGACCTGGGAAGGAAGAGGTGAGGTGGGATGTGGTGAAAGATGTGGAACATCAGGAACTTCTTTGCCTCTCATCCCCATTACAGAGTTGTAGAATCCCAGACTGGTTTGGGTTGAAAGGGATATTAAAGCTTATCCTATACCACTGTCTGCCATGGGCAGGGACACCTTCCACTTGACCAGGTTGCTCCAAGCCCTGTCCAGCCTGGCTTTGCAGGGATGGGGCTTTGCTGTCATCCATCATGTTGGATCCTTCGCTGCCCTTTTTTGGGGCGGGGGGGTGGGGTGGGAGGGGTGTCTGGGGTCTCTGACTCCTGCACTCATCCCAGCAGGATCCACATTTCGCCTTGCTTTGATGTCCTGCTGTTTGCCATAAGGATGTGAGGGGGCAGTTTCCATGGGATTGAGGGCGCACTGGGATGAGGATCATCTGAGGGTGCCAGCTGGCTTGGCACTGAATGTGTCACAGCCCCCACACACCAGACATTTGTCCCTGTACGTGTGCCTAATGCTTCTGCTAGATTCCTCTCCAGAGATCCCCCTTCTCCCCTTCTCCAGCTGGGACTGAGCACATGTGCTACAGTACCTTACTGGACAGAAATGGGATTTGAGCTGGAATTCCTACATCTATTGATGCCATCCTGGGCTCCTAATATTCCCACCATTTAGTCCCACAGCATCTTGTGCCGCAGCCACCCAAAGGATAAAACTCCTGGCACAGCACAGCCCGCTTGTTTTTCCCTCTGTTTTCAAGGTTCTGAAGGACTTTTCTTCCCTCACCCTCTAACCCACAACTTTGGACTGCTCTTTCCTCCTTGAAATGCAACAGTCCACATGCGACACATTAACGTCTCTTACACACAGCAAATAGCAACTGCTCTGCCTAAACAGCAGAATAAGCAAGAGCGGGAGGGAAAGGGATCTGTCCCAGCAATTTATTAGATAAGGAGACAATCAGCATAATTTGCCTTATTTATATGCAGCTGCTGTGCAGGACAAATGGATACCCATATCAATAAGGTCAGTGCAATTAGAGGGATGGGAAAGGGGAGACTGGTTGTGCTTCTTTGGGCAGGGAAGGGCACATAATCCACCTCCCCAAAGGCTGAGAACTGGGGCATGAGTACCCTTGTCCTGTGTGTGGATGGATGGAGAGGTGGACATGGAGGGTCAGGCAGGTGGGGGCAGTGGCTCTTCAACCACAACCCTCCTACCAGCCGTGGTCAGCCCCTCTTTGGGGAGGGCTCTCAGGCTCCTGAGCCACCAGGACCTTGGGTTTTGGTGGTGGTCCTTGGTGGATAGACCTTGGTCCTTGCACCATGTAAATCCATGGTCCTTGCATCAGGGTCCGCCTTCTGAGTAAAGTCTGAATTATTTCTTGGGCTGCATCTCTCACCAGCTATCAGTGAGCAAAACTTCAAGTTGGGCTAAAATCTGTTCAGCTGCTCACAGGTTGTACACGCAGAGGAGTTTGCAGCATCAGCAGCAGTGACATGGCTATAGATCATGGTGCTGCTCTGTGGGAGTTGACACAAACCAGCATCCAGCATCCAGACATGGGAGACCCCCAGGAGCATAGAATCCCCCAGGAAGGGTTTTTGTTAATAATCAGGTGGAAAAGAGGGCAGACCGTCTTTCCTGTTGTCAGAGTGGGTGGATGAGCCTTTGGCAGAAATGCCACTCCCAAAGAGCTTCTTTGTTGAACATCCATGGCTTTCAGGAGCTGTTCAGACATTTCTGTCTGAAGTTTGGAAACAGGCCTCTTATCCTCTGGGTCTTCTGGTTGCTCTGGCTGCTGTCCCTCCATTCTTGGGACCTTCAGTTTGGCTGTTCCCTCTAGATAGAAAATGGTGATGAGGGAGCAGGAACTGAGCAATTCCTAATTCCTGCTGCAGCAGCCCATTGGTACATGAGGATGGGTGTCTGTAGTCTGAGTGAGAACAGCCACCAAACACAGGTCTGCTGTGTGTGGCTGAACGAGGATCAGCCCTGGGTTAGATTTTACCCAGCTCTGCTTCAGCAAGAAAATGGCCTTTTTCCTCTGGACAAGAGAAGAGAGGGACACTGCCACTGCTGGGACCCTTTCCCCTCCAGCCCTCAAAATAAAGGAGAGGTGGGAACAGATGAAGGACTGCTGAGCTCTCTCGTGCCTCCTGTGGTACACAGCTGGTGGAAATGGATCTGGAGAGTCTGGTTAGCAATCTGGAAGCCAGTTAATTTTTTCCAGTTGGTGAGATTCATGCTGATGAACCAATCAGCAGATTTAATGTACCTTAAAACTTCCTTGTGGGCAACTTTAATCGAGCAATTAAAGCACTACAGCATTGCTAATTAAGAGGAGAAAATACCCAGCTTGGTAATTATGTGCTTGTGAATACAGTTTTGCATCCATGGACATTTACGAAGGAAGTCCCACAGCTGGTGGGGCAAGGGGGGAGCAGAGCTGTGTGAAAGGAGGGGAAACCCTATCCAGCTGCATCCCATGTACTGTGCTGCGGGCAAAGCCTGGCAGAGGGGCAGGGAAAGCCCTGGAAACACCTGAGGAGAGACATGCCAGGCGAAGACACTGGATGGGGCTTGGAGCAGCCTGGTCTTCTGGAAGGTGTCCCTGCCATAGGTAGAATGAGATGGGCTTTAAGGTCCCTTCCAATCCAAACCATTTGGTGATTCCACGATTCTATGAGAATACCCTGTTATTGCAGCTCCAAGCACACATCTTGGAAGATGTTTCCATTTTCTTGGTGTGGATTTCAAGAGGAATTTCTGTGCAAGTCCCAGC